TTTTGGTGTACCTAACAGATTGATATCGGACAATGGAACACAATTTATAAGCAAGAAGTTTGAAAAATTTTGTGTTGCTTATGGGATAAAGCATCCTCGGTCTTTAGTAAACCACCCGATGACCAATGGAAATGTCGAACGAGCAAATGATATAATATTGCAAGGGATTAAGACCTAAATTTTTGACAAGCTCAATGCTTATGACAAAAAATGGGTACAAGAAGTCCCAATAGTATTATGGTTAATGCGCACGACATCTAGCCGTGCTACGGGTGAAACCCCATTCATCCTTGTGTTCGGTACTCCCGCCAGATATACGACTTAAGTCGCCACGTGTATTGATGTTCTCCGAAGACGAAGAGCCTAAGTGTCGTGATCTCGACTTAATGCTACTCGAGGAAGAGCGTGATAGAACCGCTTACCGAGTACAACAATATTAGCAGTCTCTTCGGAAATATCATAACCGTCCTGTGCGTAGTCGGGCGTTAAGCATCGGGGATTTAGTACTAAAAAAGGACCAACGTACAAAGGACAAAACCAAATTGTCTTCTCCTTGGCAGGGACCGTACATCGTAGTTGAGATAGCCCGCCCGGGGGCTTATAGATTGGCTGAAATCGACGGTGATATACTCCCGAATACGTGGAATATAGACCAACTACGGCGTTTCTACGTCTAAAGATAAGTATTATTTCAAAATTTCGCAATGATTCAGTCAATATTTCTTACAATATGTACGGTTTAATATCTTGCCCCTTCAGAATTGATATACTCGGGGGCTGGAGCCTGCCGGTAGCATCGTATGAGCCCGTTGTCAATACAGTCTAAGGCTCGGGGGCTACCCTGGGTATTTTTCGACAGTTCTTTAAGCAGATCGTTGCTCTTTTATTTAGGTTTTCGTTCAATTGACCATATAAAAAGAGCAACAAAGCTGCCATCAATTTCCCTACTAGTCTTTACTCTTCATCTGAATCTCAAATTCAGATAAAGAGTCGGGGGGGCTACCATAAACATACTCACTAGTCCGAAATTTTATCAAGTCATGCCAAGTTAAAGTGCCCAAACCCACAATCTGTGTGAAAGGGAAAAATAGCAGCATCTTCGGTAAGCAAGTGAGAATATGGGAAAGCCCGACCAGCTTGGGACAGATAGATTAGCTCATTTAATCAAAGATGATGGATATACAAGCTATGATCAGACTATTGCTATGCAGACAATGTGCAAAACATTAAAATGCAAAAATAGACTGACAAAAGTTTTTTTTCCATTAATAAACCTCACTGAAACGCGGAATTACAAAAGGAGTATTCCAATACCCTAAACTAATTATTCCCAGACCAAACACCGAGTCGGGCCAAAACAAATCCCGATCCGCAAGGACGAGCTCCGTACGGTACAGGGGCAAAAGAGCCTGACCAAGGTGATCATCATCAAGCACAGGCGCTTGGTGGAGGACTGGGAGGCATGACAGCCTACTCCGGCGGCCCATCGATTGCCACGGTACCCCCCTCCTCCTTATCGCCTGGGGCGGCCACGTCTTCGCCCTCACCGGCGTCGCCCTCCTCGACGTCCTCGTCGTCGCTAACTAGGTCCACCAGAGCCCCGTCACCCGGAGTTCCGAGGGCTTCCCGGTTCAGCTCGACGAAGAGTTTCCAGGCAAGCTCCCTGTCGCCAGGAATCTCTTCCCGGTTTAGCTCCACAGAGAGCCGGCGAGCAAACTCCCAGTCACCACTCGTGTCAGGAAGGGTGGTGACCCGAGAAGTAGAGGGGCCGGCGTCACAGGGACCGGCATTGCTGACGGCAGCAAAGGAAGCAATCAAACCCTTAGATTCATTATCGGACAGCTCGATAACCCCCTGCGGCGGAACATTTGACTCAAGCCCCTCTGGGGCCAAGGCGCCGATCCCCGCAGCACTCGTTACGACCTCCTCCTTCTCTTTCTTCACGACCACGGCATCCCCCCGAGGGAGCGCCGCAGATGAGGACGGAATCGAGGTTGGAGCTGCAGACGACGTCGGAGTTGTGGACGCCGCCGCCGAAGGGGATGACGGGGGTGAAGTCCCGCCAGACTGCCCAGGAGATCCCCCGAGCAGTAAACAAGGAATCTTGCGGCGGCGTGCGGCGATTTTCGTCCTCATGATTACTAATGTGGGGATGCTAAATGGATCTAACCCAGCACTCAGACGCCTGCTTATAAAGCCAAGGCCAGGGTGATTGGGAGAGCAAGCCAATCGTCGCCCACGAACCAAAGCGACGCATTAATCACAAGCCATGCGTAATCCTCGGAAGTCGAGCCGGTGCGGCTACTTGAGTGCCTGACAACCGCCGCCTGACTCGGGCGGAGACCGCATGGACAAGACAAGACGACTCCTGAGTATGGCTTATTTTATTTTTATAGCTCATCGCCCAACTATACGACCCTGTAACTTCTACCTGACCAGCCTTGTTCTATGGGAAAGAACTCAGGTGTTAAAGCCCCGATTCCGAATGTCCCAAAAGGCTTGAGTACAGGAAAGTTACCGAGTCTGGCTTGCCCGATAAGCTCGGGGGCTACTGACGGTGCCATACTCCCAGAATTCCCGACTACCGGATATGCTGGCTACCGAATCCGTACCGAAGAAGACCCGAAGGTTCACGACTCACCTTTTCAAGGAAGGATATCTGAAGATCACGTCAAGACTTCGACTAGGGCACGACTATGTAACTTGTAAGGCAAGTAGGCCTCAGATATAAATAGCTAGCCATCCGCTCTGTTGTAATCATCGAAACTCTCATAGGCATAGCCATCTTGTACTCGCCATCTCGCCATCCCGACAAGATCGTAATACAAACAAGTAGCAACTGAACGTACGGCTTTTACTCGCTTCCCGGGGGCCCGAACCAGTATAAATCTTGTGTCTTCATCGTGTTTGCTCTTTGCATCAAGCAAGTTCCGCTAAGAACCGAGTATCTGCCGGTAAAAACACCGACAACTTTTTATATAAATTTAGCTGAATTTTTTTTCGACTCTTGGAATAGAGATAATTGCATTTTAGGACGGAGGAATACTTACTACAGGTCTTTGTCAAGCTTGACAGAGCTTCCATCTGCCATTTGGACCATGCTGCATGACTTTGACAAGTTTTAGTTGCCTCTGGCTTTTTAACCCAGCACCATCAGCACTCGGTAGTCCACCGGCTGCACATACCGAACCTCTGAATCTTTCAAACACCTGCAACAACTTGTATACACTAGTGGCTTACTAGTGGGTGATAATCTTCTTTAATCATACGGCACCAGTGTCATTTGAATAAAGTCATTTAAAAATTCTTTTGACGAAGTTGATAAAAAATAACATCTCTAAATAGATTTACTAAGAAAATATATTCAAAAGTTAATCTAATGATACTTATTCTATATCATAAATGTTAGTTTTTTATATAAATTTAGTCTAATATATACTTTTGAGTTTTCGAATAGAAATAATTGCATTGCATTCTTTTTCGGTATGAGGGAATATTTACTGCAGGTCATTGTCAAGCTTGACAGAACATCCATGATCCATCTGCCATTTGGACCCTGCTGCATCACTTTTGTCAGTGCGCCAGTTTTTTACCTAGTACCATGTCAATATTTTGTTTTGTTTTTTTTTCTCGCTGGCCCAATGCTAAACATTCTCCTCCTTTGGACGCCAAATCTTTTTGACTTTGGGGTTACTACCACGTCTGGTTTAACATCTCAGTCAACAGATTGGGCACAAAAGATTAAACAAAAACAAATCTTAGGACTTTTGAGGCAAGTGATGGTGATGCAGTGTTTTGACTCTTTTTCATGTTACGGCCTTATGGGAGAAGGATTTGCATCACCTAAGGTCCTAAAGACAGCAACTCGTAGCAATTCTTAATTGGTCTGCAAGGAAAAATGAGGCCATGTATCAGGTATGCAACCAGTATTTACAGATGAAGTCCACATACATACAAAAACAATACTGAACTCGTGGCAATTCTTCATTTGTCAGCAAGGAGAATGAGGCCACGTAACCAGTATTTGCAGATAAAGTCCACGTATGTACAAAAGAATACTCATTTGCTTGTACTTAAACCATGATGCTAACACTGCACAGTAACATCAACATGTCAATGCACGCATGTGCATCGCTAAGAAATCCAAACAACAGTACAAATATGTATGATACTTTCAAAACTGTTTTGCGCTGGCACATTGCTTTGACACCTCGCTGGTAGAGCCACTTCTGCAAGCATTCAACGGTCTCGAAACATCTTCAGAGAACAGAATGCAAGATTCATCCAATTTTACTTTTTTTTCATATACGGAACTAGAAGCAACAACTTTTTTAACTGACAGGCATGCCAGATGGCGTCCCCATTTTTCTTGCATATTCACATCACCGTTTTAAGTGCAACAGATCGCCATTTTATCTGGGAGCGATTTGCATCAACGATGCCATGATCGCAATAAATGATACCAAATCTTAATTTGTGTGATAGAAAATTGGGTACATGTAACTAGCGTTCACATAAGAAGTCCACATACAACAAAAACTACCGAATTGCAGGTCCGCCCAACATTAGGTTAAGATAACACAAGCATCAGTTAGATCACCAAGTACTGACCGCTGTACCATAAATGGAACCTTTTGTTCGAAGAAGTGTTCACACGGCACATGCGCTGACAGTTAACTGAATGGAAAGACTCAACTAAGATGCTAGGACAAAATACTTGCAAAAGACTGCATTATAATGATTTTCTATGAAACCTGAGACTTCAATTTTACTGAACATAAACTGCATTTACCGTAATTTTTGCGAAAGAATCGAGGCATGCAACTCGGTTCTCTTGCCAGGTTCTTCTAAACAGGTACAAAATATAAACATATAAATACACACGAATGATGTGGTAGTAAGGTGAGCAGATTCATTGTAGCGTGGCAGTGTGCATCTCGAAGTAGTGAAGATGGAAAAATTACCGGTGATGTGTAAAAGATGACAAGCTTTTCTGCGTCTTATTCACCACTGACTTCAACGGAAGACACGGCAGCAGCAGCCGTTGAAGTCCCTTTCCTCACTCCCATGTCCAGCCTAACATCTACGACACGTCTCCAATCCTCATCTGCAGCATACAAGTTTGACGCCAGAACGTAATTCCCTTCATGGTCAGGCTCCATGCGGATCACATGATCCATCACCCTCCTTGCTAAGCTGGCATTCCCATGGTCCCGACAAGCGCTGGCCAAGACACGCCATATTACAGGATCAGGCGTAACAGGCATGGCCAGGACGAACTCAAATGCCTCGTCCAACGACCCAGCTCGGCACAGCAGGTCCACCATGCTACCATAGTGCTCCATCCACGGCGTGATGTGGTACTCTTCGATCATGGACTTGAACAGTTGGTGCCCTTCGCTCACTAGCCTTGAGTGGCTACAGCCATTGATCACGCTCAAGAAGATAACCTCATCAGGCATGAACCCTTCTCTGAGCATCTGCGTGTACCGGACAAGGGCAGCCACACCATGCCCATTCATGGCCAGTGCTTGTATCATGGCTGTCCATGAAACCACTGTCTTCACAGCACCCATTGCATCAAATATCTCGCACGACCTCTTCACCCTCCCCATCTTACCATGCATGTGTATGAGCGCATTGGCGACACTGGTGTTCTGCAAGAACCCACTGTCGAGGGCAGACTCCTCCACCCAGTTGCCTAAACCCGACGTGCAGTCCAGCTTTGTGCATGCCGATATGACGGCAAGCAGGATGACCTCATCGACCTTGACACGAGCAATACTCATCTCCTCGAACACTCCCAACACCTCGGCTGGGCGCCCATTCTCGCAGCAAGCATTGATCATGGACGTCCAAGAGACAGCACTCCTCATGCCAACCCCCATGCCGGCGAACACCATCCTCGCGTCCCTCAGCTGGCCGCACTTGCCTTACATGTTCACCAGCGCATTCAGCACGGGCAGGTCAAGAACGGGGACGTTCCTCGTCGCGTACCCGTGGAGCTCCCTCCCGAGCACCGAGCTCCTCAGCTGCGCGCACGCGGACAGGAGGCTCGTGACGGAGACGCTGTTCAGCCGGCACCCCGTGTCGTCGCGCGACATGGCAGACGCAGTGGCCAGCGCGTCGCGCGGGTGGCCGGAGAGCGCGTAGGTCGATACCAGGGCGTTCCATAGCGGGACGTCCCGGCGCGGTGTTTCGTCGAACAGCTGGCGCGCGGTGGCGATGCGGCCGGAGACTGCGTAAGTTTTGAGCAAGGCAGAGCAAAGGTGAAGGCAGGAGGGGAGGACGCCCAGCTTCAGCGCGTGCGCATGTAGGTGGGCGGCGGAGGTGGCGGAGAGCTCGTGGAGGATGGCACCGCCGGTGCGCAACACGGTGGCGCTCATGGGTCATGGCGGCGTTGTGGTGCGACCCGACGCGAACGGAACGGGTCACCATCATTTTTCTGCGACCCAAAACGCTGGGGGCCCAAGGAGTTCGCGATGGGTCCAAATTTGCAACGAGAACGTGGGCTACAGACGCAGCCTCGCTAAATAGTGGGTCCCGAGTTGAAGGCCGTTTAAAGGGCCCTGTTACAAGTTTCAAATGGGCTTGCTTGTATTCTGTTGTTTTTCATTGTTTACATCCTCCAAAAATCCCAAAAGTTGTGCCATCTTGGAAACTAATGCTGGGAAGCGGGCGTCCGGACGGCTGGACGCTCTATTGGTCGGCCGCAACGCCAAACCTAACAACCTCCACACCTTCATTTCTCAGAAAAAAAATTCCGCTCATCCACTCATTCCTATCCACTCGTTTCCTATCGCTCCTATCCGCTTGCACTGCCGCCTTCGAGTCGTGCCCGCATCGCAACACGAGGCCGAGCCCGTCAAGGCACATGTGGCCTCGTCAAAGTCTAATGCCAGCGTCTACTCCCAAATCAGCTTCTTCGGAGATGGCGCCAACCCTTCTGACACCAAGCGCAGCCGTAGCGCCTCCGACAAGCCCCCTGCGCCCTCCTCTTCCTCCTCTAAGAAGAGCGTCGCGGAAGAGGAGGAGAAGCGTAGGCCTGCTGTCGCCGCTGTGGACAACTACTACGGCGGCGCGGACGAAGAGGAGAGTGAGGAAGAGGAGCAACACTTCAAGCGACGGTCATCCTCGTCCTCTCGGCGCGAGCGCGAGCAGGGAGCGCACGGCCGCTGCTCCTGCTAGGCTCAGGCTCGCGGCCACCTCCGAGGCATAGCGCTCGACCGCTGGCCTTGCTAGCATGTTGCAAGCGTCTGTTTCAAATGTTTCAGAAGTATGTTGCACATGTTGCAATAGTTGTACGCGTATGTTGCAAGCTCTTATGCTCAATGTTTAATCTATTTTTCCCGACATATGTTGCAAATGTGTTTATCTGTATGTTGCATATATTTTCACACATATGATGCAAGCATTTTATCTGGATGTTGCGTTTGTTTACAATGTTTTCAAGTGTTTCTCTGGTGTTTTTGCTATTGTTTCAACCGCATATTTCAAATGTTTCATTTATTTTCATACGTATATTGCAATTGTTGCATCTGTATGTTTCAAAACATCAAGTGTTGCATCTCCCTCCTCGTCTTTCTACTGTCTCGCCACGTTGTTAGGCGCAGGAAGCGAGCACATGCAAAGGCGGTCCCCACTGACGCGGGCAGGACCTACGTGCTTGCGAGCAGACACAGCAAGCAAGACCGTGGGTGAGCAGACGCTGGACGCGGTGTGGGCATCCGAACGGGGGACTAGCGTCCGGACGTCCGGGCACTAGCCACACCCATCTTGGAAAGAAATTTCCCACATTTTATTTTCATTGCCCAGCCTAATGTGGGTGGGGGGGGAATCTGAATGGAACACACAGAAAAAAGCCAGATGAGATTCAAATTTCCATGCATTAGAATTAGAAGGCTGGACTACAATACAAGAGGTTCTCTGGTCATGTCACATATGCTTAAATACCGAAATATATATTTTACAACCTGGAAGGCATGCATAACACGTACAGCATTGTGCTAACTCTTATTCTCTACAAGCTATGAAAAAATTACAGCATTCCTCTGCAGCTCAAGACCTCGGATTTCAGAGGCACAACTCGTTCTTCCTATTCTCTACTCTAGCGCCTGTCACAGTCGTCTTCTATCTACTTGAATCCCATAGCTACCACTGGGATTCTGATGAGGTGACCGCGGTCACCTTTCATGGCGATCTCACCGAAACTGTAGGTGCCGGTCACAGACCTCGCTGTCAGGGCCACAGTTACCTCTCTTGATGCTCCTGGGAGCACGGTCACTGCCGGAGGCGTCACCTCCAGGGCAACCTCTGGCGGCATTCTTGTCATGATAGTGTAAGTCTCGGTTTCGTCAGACACGCTTGTGACGGTCCGCTTCAATGTCACAGTGCCTCGAAGCTGAGAGATGGCGATTGAGGGGATGTTGAGGTCAAAAGGGCGTCGTCCCTTGGAGTTGGAGTTGCAAGCTGAACCGGCTATGTTTGATACTTCGCTCTGATTGACGTCAGGGATCGAGCACAAAAATGTGATGTAGTCTTCATGGGCTGCCAGCATGAATAAAGCAGAATTAGACAAGGGACGATACATTGCCATCTGAGTAAACTTCGACCAGCTTATCTCATGGAAAAATCGACAGTAATTGAACTTACTTGCATCTAGAACAAGACCAGGATCAAGGGCAGCTTTTGGGTTAACTGCGCCACTACCACAATCAAATGGTGTGGCCCGTGAAAGTGTCATCATTTCTGATGCAGTGTACTGCTGTGCTCTAAGAGGATGGCTCCCTTTGTCCAGTGTATTGGCCGTTGTCATCAGGGCAGATTTTATTGCTGAGGGGCTCCACTTTGGGTTCTTCTGTTTTATCAGTGCTGCAATGCCAGCAATATGCGGTGCAGCCATGCTAGTTCCAGAAACCATTGCAAATCCTTCACCTGAGAAATATTACCACAACAATTTTGAGTTTGTTCAAGCACAGAAAAATATCCTCACGAATCACTAATCCACAAGATATGAACAAGGGCAACGAAAGCGCAATACTAAAATACTGATGATAATCATGGGTGCTTCCTTGAGGGAAAGAGATCTACAGACAAACGCTTACCAGCATAGTTTGATTCATCTGTTCCATTAGGCGCCCATGCAGCCCATATAAGATTCCCAGGAGCAAGTATGTCTGGTTTAAGAACATCAGCATCTTGAAAGCTAAAATCTTTTACATCAGGTCCTCGAGAAGAGAACAGCGCAACCTGGGGAGCTGAATTGTATAGTGTTGGTGCCAAACCATCTGCAATACCTGCTGTTGCTTTAAAGGCTGTAGCCCTTCCAGCCCAATCTCTTATGGTGGAAGAATTGTAGTAGTCTATAAGATCCTACAAAACCAAAGTTATGTCATCTCAGTAAAACAACATCAAAGCCTTTTAGTCCCAAGCAAGTTGGGGTAGGTTATAGAAGATATGAAAGGTAAGAGGCATTAGTAATAGTAATAATATGAAAAGGAGATTGATAGACTAGTTCATGGTTTTGACGCGAGGACTATCTAATTATAATTGCAGTAGCAGCAGCCATATAGAATTCATGCCACTATTCTAGTAGTTGCACCTCTTTGCATATTGTTTTTCCAGCTCAATTCATGTCATTTCGAGAATTAAATTGTATATTTGTTGATCTATTCATGAATATAGAGTCTCATTTTCCCCATACTTCTATGTATGATGTTGTCTATGCATGGCAATCATATGCAAATATGCAATAAGGCTCTGCTAGAAGTATAATACCTCTGTTTTGCTGACATCTGTGATGAGAATTCCAGGGATGCTGACTGGTACAGGGTCAAATTTTGTTCCTGGGTAACTATTCTCCACAGCAACAACAAAGCCAGCTGCTCCGAGACTCCTGGCTGTCTGAGACACTTTCTTTATTGAAGCTGTCCCAGAAATGTAATTGAACGAATAGCCACACAAAAGAATTTTCCCCTGAACTTTCCTCTTATTCAATAGTTCTGGCCTCTGACAGTCTAATGCACTGTACTTGGTTGCAGATGAACCCAGTAGAGCATCAGCTGCAGAAATCAGGCTGAATGACATATTCCCATATGTTGCAGCTGTATTGTGAGAAAATTGTCAATAACCACAGGTAGGAACATAGAACTTATTGATAGAATAGCAGGACCACTCAAATATCCCATATGACCTTAAAGTACTATCAGATGACAGTTAAATACTCACAAAGACTCTAGTAAAGCGTCTGAATGGAACTAGATAGGAAGAAAAACATAAAATGGTTGTCCAAGCTAAGCATCATCAAACTGAAATAAAAGTTTGGATGTAGTAACATGAAGTATAACCACATATTCACTCAATACAACTGAATCTTCTAGTTCAGTTTCAGTATATACTTTCATGTCATTTCTACCTCTGCTAGTATGCTCTATGTGCCAAAAACAATTGGTTACACTGTTGGGGGTGAAATAGCAGAACTAGGGGCTCTACATAGAAGTTTGCTGTATTTCATTACTTCATTTTGCACAGTTCTACAATCCACAATTCAATATGCTGCACACAGTACTGACAAATAATTCATCATGATTTTGTTGATATGTATGTAGAAAAGGACTTACGAGATACTCCAAGCCCAGAAATAAGCTTTCCATTTCCTAGAGTTAAATGATTCTTGTATCTGCGATCATCAACTCCAGCAGCAACAGTGGTTATCCATGGGCTGAAAGACACCAGTGTTTTTGGAAATGGTCCACCATTTCCTGCAGCTTGGGCAACAAATACCCCAGCTTTCACAGCAGAAAGAAGTGCAGCGTCAAAAGGGTTCAAAAAAGTAGTCCGTGTAGCTGTTGGTGGGCTATTGGGTCCAACAGAAAGGTTGAGAATGTCAACACCATCCTGAACA